CTGTAGCCTTTCAAGGTGATTTTGATTTTAGATCATTAGATGTGTGATGAAAATGGTTAAATGTTTGCAACTTGAGTTCTGTATTCAAAGATATAACAAATGTTTGTTTTAATAATATACAGACTTCCCTTGAAAATAAAGGATGAAACACATTCTCCCCTTAAGTTAAAAAAAAAGAATTGAGTATTTATATAGCATTTTCTCATTCTGCTACTAAATAGCAAGAATTCCCCTCAACTTCTCTCAGTATTTTTTACTTTGTAAATCCTCAAAGTCTTTAACCAAACAAAACACATTTAAGTGCTGAAGAGTTTTATTTTAACAAAATTCCACTGAAGAAATTCAGTTGATCATTCACTCAGCTGTTCTGTGTTTATTTTTGCTGAGAAGATGAGAACAATAATGAGGGAGGCTGGGAAAGGGAGTTTTGCAGTAAAGAAGGCAGAACTAAAGGGAAATGTGGAATCACCTGAAAGGAACACAAAACTTGTGTGTCCTTTAAAAGGGCCTTGTCTACTGGTAACAACTGCCAACCCACCTTATCTACCTGTGGATCCACATGCAACAGCTTTCCAGGAGAGATCACTCATATCAGTTAGACTTTATCATGACACTATGTTTTGAAATAGGCACTATTTGTTCTTTCCTAATCTACTTTTGTTTTAGGAATGGGGGAGAAAGAGAGAGAGGGAGACAGGCGTTTATCTTTTTTTTTTTTTTTTTTTTTTGAGACAAACAAGCAAACAAACACAAAAACATCCAAACCTAGGTAGACCATTAAACCCCGCAGGATGAATGTAGATGCCCGTTGTCTCTTAACCCACAGTTTTGTCAATGGCAGCTTCTGTGAGGACTGAACACTTTTCATCTAATCCCGCGTGCTTCATATGTGACATTTTGGGTCCCTCCCACTTGGCTGCCCCAGCTCTTTCAGTGAGCCTCAGTGTTTCTTTGTTTTCCCAGCTACCTGCCTCCAGCAGTCCTCTTCCTCCCGCCTCCACCTATACTTTTCCTTTGCCTCCTTTCCAGTGATCAGGCCTTGCTGATCTCTGTGTCCACATGCTTTCACCCAGGACTTAGCACATAATTAATGAAAGGTTTTGAGACCCCTCTTCAGTTAGTAGAAAGTGGGATGCTGGCCCAAGATCTTCAAAGAATAAAAGTAAAAAAACAAAAAACAAAAAACAAAAACAAAAACAAAACAAAAAAACAATTTTACTACTGTTATTTATCAGTTATAATAGGGTTGTGCTAGGTATAAATGTGTTCTTTTACTAGGTAATGCCCTATATTTTTATAGTGATTTTTACCCTTTCAAAGCACATTTATACCCTTTACTCCATTGGATTTGAATCTCACATGCCTATGAAGAAAGAGGGCAGTTCTGATTCCATCTTACAACTGAGTAAATTGAGGCAGACAGATTGAAACTTTCTCTGCTTCTGTCCATGAGTAACAGAGCTGTGACTATAATCCTCACTGTAGCTCTGTATGAACTAGACTGCAAATATCCTTTCTGAATTCTCACTTTTTAATCTGTCTCTATTGATGCTGTTTCTTTATACATATACTATATGATTATACATGTATACCTATGTATACTCTGTAATATATACTACATTGGGGTATGTATACAGTATTTGTAATACATGTGTATGTTTGGTCAAGAATAGTCTCTTTATAAAAACATAGCAATCCACAGGGATGTTCCTGTTGGACTTCAGCATTTTATATGGACCCTGCACGTCATGTGCATGTTATTCAGACTTGAAAAGCTGTGGTTCTGAAGCTTGTTTGCCATTTACTAATGAGAGAAGTCTTTCTCACAGCTAATTTACTTTGGTAGTTGCTTTCTGCAAAGATCAGTCGAACTTGGCACCATACTATGTGTCTCTTTGAGAGGAGAGGAGGAAGATGAAAGGACATAATTAATTATAAGACCGACCTTAAGATTCCTGTGCTTAAAAAGCTGTCCAACTCCAGGGAATTATTTCAAGCCTAAGACTGGGACGGGTTCTTTCACCTAATTGCCACTACTTCTTGCCCTAATGAAGTTGTGCTTCTTTTCTTTAGCAACCTATAGGAATTTCTGGTGCTCTAAATAAAGCATCATGATGTGGCCTATTTACTTATTTTAATGGAAGGGGGATCAGTGAGGAGGACCAAGAGCTACACCTCTCTAGCACAGCAGCTGATGGCAAGAATGATTTGTGTGACAAAATCGGCCCACAATAGTTTGTCCCCAAAGAAGCTTATTAGGGTGTAAGACTTGAAAGCTCGTTAGCATTGCCAACAAACTGGTGTGGTCCTGGACTTGCAGTGGCCTATGAGAAAGTCTATCGGCAAGATGGAGCCAAATGCAGAAAACAGACGCCTCACTGACTGCATTTAAAACTCCAGGGCAGGGTCAGCCACAGGTTAAACTATTAGCTGCAGTTTGTCTCTGACAACCTCCAATTTCTTTTATTAGTCTCCTTCTCGGTTTTCATGGTATCACATTCTTACTCTCTCATGCTTTCTAATTGCCCAGAGCCCCTGCATAGGCCTGCCTGTTTTGGCAGCACTCTGTGCACTCAACTCCACAACTGCTCTCACAACAAGCAAAACCTCCTCTCATTTAGACTGAGCTTGAAATACAACCCCAGAGTATTTTATTCTCAGATGTAAAGGAGCTAAGATTTGAGGATGGATCACCATGGTCTTCCTCCTCCTTTCCTCTCTTCCTCCTTCCATCCTCATCTCTTTCCCCCTCTTTCCCTTTCTCCATTCCATTTTTTTGATTAGGGAACAGGATTTTTTTTTAAGATTTCATTTATTTATCTGAAAGGCAGAGTTATAGACAGGCAGAGGCGGGGTGGGGGGGGGGCTTCCATCTGCTGGTTCACTCCCCAAATGGCCACAACAATTGGAGCTGGGCCAATCTGAAGCCAGGAGCCAGGAGCTTCTTCCAGGTCTCCTATGTGGGTACAGAGGCCCAAGGACTTGTGGCATCTTCTACTGCTTTCCCAGGCCATAGCAGAGAGCTGGATCATTAGTGGAGCAGCTGGGGCTCGAACCAGCACCCATATGGGATGCAGTGCTGCAGGCAGCAGCTTTACCTGCTATGCCATAGTGCCAGCCCCTGGATTTTAATATGAAGCAAAAAGAATGTGATGATGATGAGTCAGTGAGAATAGCTTAGGTAACACTTCAGTAAAAGTGACCAACAAATCTCAGTGTCTTGAGCCAACACAGGTTTGCTTCTCTTTCCAGATTGGGCTTTTAGGATTTTCTGATACCTGAAGTGATTCAGAGACCCAGGGACCCAGGCTCTGGAACAGCTAGCACATCAACATTTCTAATGGCTGTGCTTGCTGTGCCCAAGGGAAGAAAATGCTAGAAGCACTCATTTTGGCTAGATCAATGTTTTGAATTGTACACAAAAAGTCTTGAGGGAAAATGGAAAGAATGGAGTAATGTTGATTATCCTAATACTCATTTATCTTTTATTCCTAATAACTAACACAGTAGTGGGCATAGCAAAAGCAGTAAATGTTTATGAACATTGAAATGGTTTCCAAGAAATCTGGTGTTTTTGCCTTGGGTTGTCTTAGACTGAAATAAATTACAGAACCCATGAAGATAAGTTTGAAGGCCTCCAGACTTAGAATGAAGTCCTGGAGATATTAAAGATAGGAGGTATCCAAAGCCCTTTTAATCTATCTAAAAAGAATTTAAATGGGACTGGTGCTTTGGTGTAGTATGCTAAGCCTCTGCCTGCAGTGCTGGCATCCCATATGTCCTGTCCCCACTGCTCCTTTTCTGATCAAGCTCTTTGTTAATCGTATGGGAAAGCAGTGGAAGATGGCCCAAGTGCTTGGGCCTCTGCACCCACATGGGAGACCTGGAAGAAGCTCCTGGGCCCTAGATTCGGATTGATCCATCTCCAGCCATTTTGGCTATTTGGAAAGTGAACCAGAGGATGGAGGACCTTGCTGTCTGTTTCTTCCTCTCTCTGTAATTCTACCTCTCAAATAAATAAATAAAATCTTTTTAAAAATAAAATAAAAATTAAAAAATTGAATTCTGATATAGATCATTCATGGTCTGGTCGATTCCATGAATATCACAAGGAAATAGCTCTCATGCTGTTGTTCCTTTTCTGCTGATTGGCACATGGTATCATGCAAAGAGTATCTGTTGACTGACTCAACTGTGGACAACCCGTGACTTATAATCAATGCCTTGGAGTCTTTGAGTTTATACAGATGAAAGATATAAAGCTTTTGCCAGGTAATTAGTTTTTATTGAGTTTTATTGAGTTTTAACCATATAAATTCAATGTCATATACACAGAAAAATGAGAGAGATAGAGGGAAATTAAAATAAGGAGATAATACAGTCCAGGCAGTTCTGCCTACTCTTTCAGTCACTGACCTTATACCTCCAAGAAGGTGTGAGATGAAAACTTCAGTCTAAAGTGATCTCAGTTGAACATGGCTGCCAGTAAGAACAACTCATTCCATTGCATTTACTTCTAATATTCAAGTATGTGATAAGTATTCTTCCATGCAGCTTGACACCAGGTGTTAACTATGCTGACCCGAGGGGCCAGGGATCTGGTCTAATGCTGGAGGGAGAACTGGCTGTGTCAAGGTTCACTGTAAGGTGGCATATTCATCCCCAACATGGTTTAATTTTGACTGTGTGTTTTGTACAAAACCAACTTTAGGACCTCCTAATGCCCCTAGTGAAAGGAGAAACCACAGCATCTTTGTTCTTTAGGAAACTAGACATAAATGATGAAGACTGCCTTACCTTTTACTGTCTTTGTATTTTATTTGGTTCAAGATACTTTGCTGTGTCTGATGTTTCTGCATATAAATCTATAGAGTTATGTTGAAGCCAATATATGCATTTTATGTAAGTTTCCTACTAGAAGAATAGATATACCCATATGTGGTATTCATGATGTCTGTGTCACCAGCACGTTAATGTTGGCTTTCCATTCTTTTCTCCAGAGTGCCTACCGCATGTTTACAAACAACACGTGTTTGAAGCACATGATCACCAAAGTCCGGCGGGACACCCACCACTTTGAACGCTACCAGCATAACCGGGACCTTGTAGGATTCCTCAACATGTTTGCGAACAAACAGCTGGAGCTGCCAAGGGGCTGGGAAATGAAACATGATCATCAGGGCAAGGTAACACAGGAATTTCCACAGGGAGCTGCTGAATGAGTGATTCCTGAGAATGGCTGCTTGTGGCTTTGGTACTTGGCTCCAGCCTGGTCCAGGAGAAACCTGGACAAGCAGGGTGTTTGTAAGGACAAGTAGTTACAAAAGCATTCTAAAGTAGTATATGGGGCGGGGGGAGGTAATGAAGTTGGTGAGATGCGCTTTTCATTAGATGTTCTTGCATCTGTCATCTCTCACTATTTTCTGCTGATTACAGAAAAGTTTCTTAGGCAATAATACTTCCTTCTTGCTAGTTGTACAGCTTATATTATAGAAACTTGAGTAAAAAAACTGTAGGGTTGTTTGGGGAAGATGCCTAGACATCCCTGAACAAGTACCTGACACAGGGTGTGTCTTCATGATACTGTCTGGGTTTGGGCCTCAGTCGTGTTGGTTCAGAACCCTGATTTTGTTAGCACTTTAAACATGACTCGTTGATTAATTTTTGACAAGAAATAGGTAACTGGGTCACACAGGCCAGAGTAACCACATCTGTACTTCCTTTGTAGACAGATTAACCAGAAAGGCTGGTTGCAATCAGGAAGTTGTTGTATGAGTAAAATCAGAATGAGAAAGTTAGTACTTTCCAGAAGGTGTTTCTCAGCTGAGATTTTTGTTTTATTTGTTTAATTCTTATATAGCACCTACCGTGATCCATGAATAGTTTAAACTGTTTATAGGTGGAAGGTTCTCTCTACAATTTGATAAAGCAGCACTGTAAACCACATTTATAGATAAGGAGCCCCAGGTCCAGAATGATCCCAGTGGCGTATCACAGAGATAGGCAGGGGCTGAGCTGGGCTCTGGCCCGGCGTTCTGTTCAAGGGGCTGTGCTCTTGTGTACAGCGTGGTGCTCTCCAAGTGGTAAGTAACCAGCTTCAGTTTTCCTGACTATAAAAAGCCTTGGAATATGTAACTTGGACAGTAGGAATGATTAAAATGACTTGATATTTAAAGGGTTGAACAATCCTCAGGTTGTTTGTCCAACAAATCTTTATTGAACACCTACACAAAAGAGCTAATCCAGCTACTTCATTGACCTGCCATTCTTCAGACAGAGGCAAGTGACAGACAAATCGTTAAAGAAACAGTTTGCCCAGATCTGATTAATTCTGTGGTTTAGAGAATAAAGCAGGAGATGGGGTCTAAAGAAAGGCAGGAATGGAGAATGTTATTTTATATAGGATGGTTGTGGAAGGCCTCATAGGTAAAGCCATAGGTGAACAGATACTTGAACAAAGTGGGAATTAAAGTATATTAGAGGAAGATCTTTCAGAGCAAATAGAACATGCTCAGCACTCAGCAAATGCTACTTTCTGCTCAAGTATTCTGTAGCAATGATACCACAGTAGCCTCTTCTTCATTCTAAATTCAGCTCCAAGTTGTCATCTCAGAAATTACAGGCAGTCAGAAATAGCTGTTACAGGCACGTGTAAACTCAGGAGAGGGACTGAGCTCCTAAGCCCGTTGAGCTAAGAACAATTCATCCAGTAGGCTGCCCGTAAATGACATGTGTAAAAGTTCCTACCTCCTTGAATGTGGTTGAAGTCCCAACCCCAGGCTCCCTTAGCATCCTCAAAAGCCCTTAGGACTATGTCCTTATGCGAGGAACCCTCAAACATTCATTGAAACTGTTGTCTTGAGTTCTGATAATCTTTTTTCAAAAGATGTGTTTATTTGAAAGGCAGTTAGAGAGAGAGAGAGAGAGAGAGAGAGAGAGAGAAATCTTCCATCCGCTGGTTCAGTCCCCAAATGGCTGCAATGGCCAGTAAGAGCTTTGGGGACCCTGAGAAGGACATAGAATACAAGGGTGGATTATGGCTGAGTTGCTCATAGTCTGTGAGGCATAGTCCTCTGCATCTTTCTTGAATTCCAGTGTAATTTTGCTTGTGTTGTCTCATGACAGCTATTCCCATCTGTCTCCTGGTACAGTTTTTGACATGTCTTACCTTCTCCAACAGAGGAGCCCATTTCTGAGAGTTGTTTTATTTATCTTTGAATCATTCTTTCTTCTAACCCAGTCCTTTCACCCAGAAGATTTTTACAAGTTGATGAATGAAACCTGTCACCTGTAGTTTCCATGTTATTGAGTAATCTCTGTTGGAAAAACCAAGACGAAGTTTCCAGGATCCCTTCCCGTTCTTGCTCCTTCTGCCTCCTACACTCTCAGTAGAAGCTATTAGATTTGGTCCATTTGACCTCTCTTATGCTGTTTTTTTTTTTTTTTTTTTCACATTACATGTTTAAATAAGATGGTAACTGCTTATACTGCACTTTAGCAGTCTTCAACTTTGGAAGAGTTTTTGTTTAGTTTTCTGTACTGATGGCCAAGGGTTGAAATTGAATGAGATTTTGTAAGATTCTATATCTGATGTACTCTGGAAGTTGAAGGGTGAAAAATGTGTTTGAGTCACATAAAAATATAGGGAAGCAGGGCCGGCGCTGTGGCTCAATAGGCTAATCCTCCACCTTGCGGCGCCGGCACACGGGGTTCTAGTCCCGGTCGGGACGCCAGATTCTGTCCCAGTTGCCCCTCTTCCAGGCCAGCTCTTTGCTGTGGCCAGGGAGTGCAGTGGAGGATGGCCCAAGTGCTTGGGCCCTGCACCCCATGGGAGACCAGAAGAAGCACCTGGCTCCTGGCTTCGGATCACTGCGGTGCGCTGGCTGCAGCACACTGGCCGCGGTGGCCATTGGAGGGTGAACCAACGGCAAAGGAAGACGTTTCTCTCTCTCTCTCTCTCTCTCACTGTCCACTCTGCTTGTCCAAAAAATATATATATAGGGAAGCAAAATATTAATTTAAAATTTACAATTAAAGAGCAAAAACGGAGAATCGGGTATTATTAGAAAAATGATGATGATTATGCCTGTATTTAATAATGTAGCACCATGTTCCAGGCACTATACTAGGTACTTTTCCATGGAATATTTCATTTGTACCTCATGGCAGTCTATGAGGTGGGTTTTATTATTACCTACATTTTACTGTAGGTGGAGTGTGTCCTACTTTTACTTTGGAGGTGTCAAATAGTTAATTAGTATGCATTAGCAAGAAAGTGAGCAATCCAGGATTTCAATTCTAGGAGTGTGACTCTTAATCACTATACTCTACTGGAAGGAAAGGTCTTTGGAAATGAGAGATTCTTTAGCATCACGAAGAACAGAAGTTCAAGGGCAGATGCTAGGATTACTGGTACCGTTCAATCCTGAATCATACATTTAGGCTTTGGTCGAATCACAAGTGTGTTCTAGCAGAGGACATCACATACATGGCTTTGAGCTTAAATATCATAAGGCCTCATGCTAGGAAAGCAGTATATTTGCCAAGAATGGAGTTCACCCTATATGGTTGGCTTATTAATAACCAGGCTCTATGCTATAGACATTGTACTAGCTCATTTAATTTTTACAACAATCTTGAGAAATAATTTCATTACATATGTAGAAGTCAAAGATCAAAGAGGCTAAGTTAATTGTGTAAGGGGAAAATCTTGACTACCAATCTAGGTCTTTCTGTATATAACACCAACACTCACTTAACTAATACCAAGCCTAGTCTAGAACTCAGTGGGCCACTAACTATCTTGGGAGGCATCTTTTAAATTCCCTGATTCTGAGGCTTCTTATCTGTAAAATTAATAGATTAATTATCTTTTCATTTTCTTATTAGCCATTTGTATATCTTTGGAAAAATGTATGTTCAAATTCTGTGTCCTATTTTTTTAAAAAAAGATTTTATTATTTGAAAGGAAGAGTTACAGAGAGGCAAAGGCAGGGGGGGGGGGGAGGTCTTCCATCCGTTGGTTCACTCCCCAAGTAGCTACAATGGCCAGAGCTGGGCTGATCCAAAGCCAGGAGCCAGGAGCTTTTTCTGGGTCCCCCACACAGTGGAGGGGCCCAAGGACTTGGGCCATCTTCTACTGCTTTCCCAGGCCATAGCAGAGAGCTGGATCAGAAGAGGAGTAACCGGGACTTGAACTGGCACCCGTATGGGATTCCAGGACTGCAGGCAGTGGCTTTACCTGCTGCGCCACAGCACCAGCCCCTTCCCATTTTTAAATGTGTTTTTATCTTTATATTATTGAGTTACAGAATTTCTTTATATATTCTGGATACAAGGCCCTTATCAGTATCTGGTTTGCAAATATTTTCTCCCATTCTCAGGGTTGTTTTTCATTATCTTTATGTATTATTTTAGAGGCAATTTAAAAATTAAAGAACTTATTTGAGAAACAGAGAGAGGTTGGGAAGGAGAGTACTGGACAGAGAGCGAGTGAGATCTCCCATCCATTGATTCACTCCCCAAATGCCCACAAGGGCCAGGACTGGGCAGGGCTGAAACCTGGAGCTGGGAACCATATTCCATGAGCCATTCCTGCTGCCTTCTAGGGTTTACATTGACAGGAACTGTCAGGAGTCAGAGCTGAGAAGCAAACCCAGGCACCCTGTCATGGGATGTGAGTGTCTTAACTGGTATCTCCGCCAGTAGACCAAATACCCACCACAAAAGTTTTTAATTTTAATACAGTCCAGTTTATTTGTATTTTCTTTTGTTTGTAATTTATTTTTGGTGTTATATCTAAGAAAATATTCTGTAGCCCAAGGCTACAAATGAATAGTCCTATATTTTTCTCTAGAATTATGTAGTTTTACCTCTTTGATCCTTTTATGTACATTGTTCTTGACCTCTGAGGGATGTTTTCTTCTGCCTTAAACCTGTCTAATAACCCAGAATGCTCTCTCTTCCTCTACCTCAAATGTTGTTAATGTAGTGTCTCTGCTAGACTTGCACTCTTGCTTCAGCAGTAGCCTTCCAAGAGCAAGGTGATTGCAGTTACCATCACTTCAGTCATGAAGGTAGAATTTCAAAAGCATCCTTGAATGTCCACTTTCCCTACTCTTACTCAACAGAGTAGTGGAAGTTTTAGCAAGCACAATTCGGGAGGAGAAAGAAATAATGGGCATCA